CTATCTATCTATCTATCTATCTATCTATCTATCTATCTATCTATCTATCTATCTATCTATCATTTATCCATTGTCCCGTGACCCGAGGATGCTGCAACCATCATTTCCATATAGACCATTAAGCACCAGAATCTTGCAAATATGAAAGTCCCTCTCTCCCCTCCCCTTCACTTTACAGGCCAAGATACTAGGGAGGGTCCCTTCTGAGATGCTTCTCACGCCCCTTTTTCCTTCTCTGGGCTCAGCTGCCTCTTATCAGACTGATGTCTAGTCTGTGTCTCTTCCTCCTGTCTCTCAAGGCCTTTCCCACTTCCCATTACAATATTTCTTCCCCCTCCTCTTTACAGCCCACGAAACTAGGGAGGGTCCCTTCTGAGATGCTTCTCACGTCCCTTTTTCCTTTCAGGGCTCAGCTGCCTCTTATCTGACTGATGTCTAGTCTGTGTCTCTTCCTCCTGTCTCTCAAGGCCTTTCCCACTTCCCATTACAATATTTCTTCCCCCTCCTCTTTACAGCCCACGAAACTAGGGAGGGTCCCTCCTGAGATGCTTCCCACACCCCTTTTTCCTTTCAGGGCTCAGCTGCCTCTTATCCGACTGTGCTCTGTTTTGCAGCTCTTCCTCCTCTCCCGCAAGGCCATTCGCACAGGCCATTACATCGCTCCTTTGCAAAAAAAAATCTCCCCTCCTCTTCTTCTTCCGCTCATCCCCGGCCCCTTCCCCAAGTGGCCTCAACCCTCCTCCCGCGGACCTTCACTCACCCCTGCAGACGGTGCCATTCTCCACCGATTCGTAGCCGGATCGGCACATGCAGCGTCCGATGGGCACCAGCCACTCGCCGTCCCCGTTGCAGTACAGTTTGATCGGCACGTCCACCTCCTCGGCGTTGGGGATGCACGTGCCTCTGGCCGCCACCAGCGAGGTGCTCTCCGCGCCCGACAGCGTCTCCTGGAAGATGGCGCCGTTCTGGATCACCCGTAGGCACTTGCGGTAAAAGACACGGACGGCGATCAGGGACATGCACCCCCCGTAATCTTGGAAGGCCAAGTAAAATCCGTTTTTGGAGACGGGGCCGAAACTCCGGACTTCGGTGTTGATCTTCATGACCCGTCCGCCTAGGTCCACCTGGGAGAAACTCTCGTCGGCCGCGATGGTGTCCACTTTGGCCCAAGGGGTCTCCATCCAGCTGGGGAAGCTCTTGGTGGCGGCGTCGAATTCCGACTCGTAGTAGTAGAGGTTGAAGGTCTCCTTGCAAGATCCCGGCACGTTGGGAATGCTGCTACAGTCGCGGACGGAGAACTTCATCTCCACGTGGATACGGTGGGCTCCCCTCCGGCGGATGTATTTAGTCCGCAGCCAGTTGTTCTGGCTGGATTCGAAGACGTTGCAAACTTGGTAAGTCCGGATGGTGTTCATGTTCTCGTCGTAGCCGCTCACTTCCTCCCACTGCAGAGGGAGTAGAGAGAGAGTTTTAGAGTTTAGAGTTTTATTTCATTTGTATGCCGCCCTTTTCCCTAAAGGGACTCAGGGCGGCTCACAACTCAAACAAGGGAAGGGGGGATACAGACCATTGACAACAACACAAAACAATACATAATTAAAATAGGCTGGAATACTGCAATGTGCTCTACATGGGGCTGCCCTTGAAGAGCACCCGGAGACTTCAGCTAGTCCAGAATGCNTTCCTCTGTGCAATCGGAGGCCACCCGGCTTGCCTCTGAGGGAGGTGGACATCATGCACACATTCAAGCACAAGCCAGGTTGTCCCTGGGGAGGCAGCAGGCAAAGGGGCTGGAGTAGGTGACCTCTAAGGCCCCTCCTGACTCTGCTTTCGTGAGCTGTGAATCAAAGCTTGCGGGGTTTGGTTTTTGGAAATTGCTCACCTGTCCTTATCTGAGAGTTGTAAAGGAGATTTTCCAACGAAGCATCGATGAACTTTTAATATTTACGCCAAATTGGCCTTTTTTCCCTTTCTTTCACCAAGCGTTCAATCTGCCCGTACAAAGCCCACACTTCACGCGATGCATTTTTCTCCCCCCAGCCATGGTTTATCTCCCCCCTCTTTCTTCGATCTGATAAAATGATTCTTAAAAACCTTTATGGATTAGAAACATCCAGAAAACGGAAAAGAACAGAGTGAAATGTTTCTGATTAAGAGACGCAAAGCCGGCCTCCCTTCGCTTTTCGTCAGTCCGGATTTCAAATCACTTTAAGATCCCCTCGTAGTGATCACAATTTTTAAAGACCATTTTATTGTAGAGTTAAATTGGCGCTTAAGCGCTGATTTATAATTTATGTTGGCATTGATAACGTTGGCTGTATTGAAAGTGGCCGAATCAAATAACTGCTGGATGCTAGATTTCTTTTAAATTTCTTTAAAAAAAAGTGAGGGGTGGGGAAATAAAACAAACCTGGTTTAGCAGGTCTGAATTCACACGCAGGACGTTAAAGGCCGTAATGTTAGTTAGTTTAGTTCTGGTTTATTTGTGAATTGGAGTGACTTGTGTGTTATTATGAAACAGAGATAAATTGTTCAACATCTGTGGGGCTTGGGCCCAATTTCTCAATACAGGTAGTCCTCGGCTTACGACGGTTTGCTTAGTGACCGTCCGAAGTTACAACGCCACTGAAAAAAGTGACTAAGGACCGTTTTCCACGCTTATGACCGTGGCAGCGTCTCCAGAGTCACGTGATAAAAATTCAGACCGGCTCGTATTTACGTCATCCCCTTTTGTGACCTTCTGACAGCGGGGAATCCGGACTCACTTAGCGACCGTAAAGTGACTCACTTTAACAACTGTAAGAATTGCCCTAACAACTGTGGCCAGGAAGGCTGTAAAAACGTGGCAAAAACATAATTATCACTTGACTAACGTCTCGCTTATCAGCAGAGTTTCTCGCCTCCATTGTGTGTCGTAAGCCGAGGACTACCTCTATAATGGTGTTTTTTTTCCCCCCGGGCACGGTTAAAACGTAGCTTCGTTTAATTTTTAAAAATCCAGCATTTGATTCCTGTTCCAGTTGTTCTGCATTGCATTATAAATTTTTTCCCCAGGGTTTTAAT